CCTTTCAGGGTGGAGACAACTATGCCGGTAGCAACCGGTGCTCGGTGTACTCCAGCCATGCAGTGCACAAAAATCGATGAATTGTGCTCAAGTGTGGGTTGGAGCAGTGGACGCAGCTCTGCCCAGTCACGATCTCTCTTCTTTGGACTCGAGATCACCCAGTGACGAACGCAGGCGTCTTTGGGGAAGACGGCCCCTTTACCCACTGCTGACTGCGCAAAACAGGTCACGACCAGCCTGACCCGGTGTCTCTCCAACATGGCAAGATCAGCTTCGCCTGGGATTCCCCCAAGGAACACAACCGGGGCGCTCTCCGAAGTACCTTTCCGGTACACTACAGTCGGGGGCTCTGGCCCATCTCCGTGGCCTGGTCTGCTCCAACGCTGCAGTGCCAGACTGTCGAAGAATTCATCTTCGACCTCCGCTGGTTCAGCAGCATCGGCTGCTCCAGGAGAAACTGTCTCGACTGGCAGATGCGGATTCTCTGCAGACTGTAAGCCCGCCACAGGCAAAATGGGGACACGGTTTCTGAGTCCTCGAACACGAATCGTGAAATAACGTTGAGTCAGTGAATTGGCATCAGCCTCCGCCTCAGGCTGTTGAAGCATGGCTGAGGCTTTCTCAAAGCTATCCTCCTTCAAAGTGGTGTAGGTGATCTGCGTCATACTGACCCATCGGGTGAAAGGTTCACGCTGTTGGGCTGCAGCAGCCATGAACAAAATAAAAGCTTGTTTGGCAAGGTCACTCTGATACTGCTTCGATCCAGTGTACCGTAAAGGCATCTGACTACGGCTCTGGTCAGGAGCTTTGTCAGTCCAATTACCCAGTGCTACTGTCAACGCTGGATGAAGTTGCACAAGGTGAGCCCATGTCACGGGCACCTGGCGCCAAGATTTGCTGGAAAGCATGCCCAGTTGGTCATCCTCCACAACGCCACGCATCACCAGCTTCACAGTATCAGTAATTGACTTTGCTGTCAGCTTCTTCTTGGTGAGGATGTCGAAACCAATCGCCTCGGCCTGCTCGTCTATCAGATGGCGCTTAAACCATGGCGCGAGGTCAAGGTCAGAGGCTAACGTTCCGGTCGGAATGACCCGAGGCGCGGTCCAAACAAACCCCTGTCTCTGTCCTTTCTGCTTGCCTTTCGGGCAGATGAAGTGCAGTGTTGTACCAGTGCACTTCACAATGCTGGACCTCTGCAAGTGCGCCATGCGGACGCAACCTGCAACTTGCAGGTAGGTGACTACCAAAGCCGGTGCAGCTGCTGTGTGACGACGCACAGCATAATCCAGGGCGTCCATCAAGTTGAAAAACATGGCAGGTTCTGCTGTGGGCGCTTGCCGAGCACCAACCCCATGATGCCCTCGGGCTGCTCTAACTCGGCCCACACAAAGGCTGAGGTCCCATGCTACCCGCATGTTATTCTTAATCCACTGCAATGCGGGCAGAGCTCGAGACGGTGCATTGCACGAGCTATACCATCTGCCCAGCTGGCTTGCAGAAAGATGGCTGAGATTCAATCCTTGCTCATCAGCCCAACTGCCCAACTGCAACCATGTCAGCTTGACACGCTGGAGGGTTGCGCCCTCGGTCTGATTCAGCAGCTGGGTGAGCAGCGGTTGCATCGCTGCCGTGACCTGGTCTGCGGTTTCCCCTGCACCTGGCTGGAACCAACTGGCCAATTGCCCAATTTCTTGCAAGAAAGGCCTATACTTCTCCAGGTCAGGCGGTGGCTTCTCCACGGCTCGGACGACACGAGGCGCTGGGCGCTTTCTGGATGTTGACGCTGGTGGTTCCTCCACTGGCTGTGCCTGCCGCACTGCGGGGACAGGGGCGGCCCGGTTCTCCCGTTCCAGGAGGGCGACTAGACTCCTGTCAACTCCCGATGACACTCGGCGACGGACATCCCGCGAAGCGTTGGCGACGAGCTCTCCGGCTTCGGCCTGGGCTTCTCCCATGGTAGAGAAAAAATATGCGAAATCACCATGGTGAGTAACTCCGTTGACCTGTCGCCAAGCTTTGACCACAGCATCAACATCCATCACTTTGAATTGGCAAAAACAACAAATTATGCCAACAGTCGGTCTTCGACCTTAGAGATTCTCTCTTCAGAAATTCTCCCTGATGTTAGCCATTTTGGGAAATATTTTGAACCAAAATGTAACAGTTGGCATAGATGTATGTCTGCCACAATTGAATGAGCAGCATACACCAAACCTGCCCAAGAGCACTATATACAAATAGAAATTTCATTTTTCAACATATTTTGACAAAAAAAATCGATTTTTTTTTTTCAAAATTTCATTCCAATACCTTGAGAATGACCCACTGAATGTTTTAAACCTCATTGTGGGTTAAATTTATGGATAGAAATTTCATTTTTCAACATATTTTAATAAAAAAAAATCGAAAAAAAAAAAATCAAAATTTCATTCCAATACCTTGAGAATAACCCACTAAATGTTTTAAACCTCATCGTAGACATAATTTATTGATAGAAATTATTTTTAAAAATTTATCAAAGTGACATTTCTCATTTTGCATCATTTTCCCGTTGTGTTTTCCCCCCTCTAGGTCTCCCCTTGGGGTCGCCCCGTTGTGTCTTCCTCATTATACCTCCCCGTTTTGGGCCGAAATCCTCGGGCAGGGCTTTCCGCCATTTACATACATTCACTCTGAGAGTTATGAGCATCTCCAAACATACCAAAAAAATCCAAAAAACAAATTCCTAAAATCTTCCTAGGAAGGCTCTTAAAGAATAGGAGACCGTCAAACAACAAGATTTCCTTAAAAAATAAAATTGTTTTTTTTTGCCAGCCAAGTATGTTCCTTAAAAAATACAGTTTTTTAAAGACATCATGTCCTAAATTTTTTAAGCTAAATTCCCAGGAGGATTTTATAATATATTTTTATAAATTTATTCGATATATATATTTAAATTCTAAATCATTTTTTTTATCATTATTATTATTCCCACCCATTATTATTATCAAAATAATAATAATTATAATTATTATCATTGATCCTCCTCAACATCATCATCATCATCTTTATCAATATCATTATTTTTTTCCTTCTCTAGATCATCATCCTCCATCGTATCATCCTCCATTTCATCTTCCATATTATGATCCTCATCATCTCCATCATCACCACCCTCATCATCATCATCATCATCACCATCACCATCACCATCACCACCACCACCATCATCGTCATCATCATCATCATCCACATTATCATACATTATCCTCCCACTTCCCCACACTGTTTGGGGGTTTCTTGCCGGGATACTTTTTATCCATATAATACATATTGAATATGTATTAATTTAATTTATTTTTTTAGTTGTTTTAGATATATTTATAGGATAAAATTTTGGTGGTAGAAATGAATATATATATATATATATATCTGTGTATATATATATATAATATGTTTTGCTCTTGGATTTCCTCAAATCTGAATTTGAAAATCTTGGAAATGAGGGATGTAATTATATGTATATAATATAATTCATGTTTTGACTTGATTGTCTAATTGGTTCTATGTGTTCGAATCAATTCCTGCGATTTGATTCCAGTCGCAAGGATCATGTTTTTGGCATGTGTAAACAGAACAAATCTGTCCTCCAATTTTTGTCTCTGATCTTCGGCAAGGTTGGGCAATTGATGCTCCACCTTGCAGTTTGCTGTGCAATGCTGTGCAGATTGAGGTGCCAGAAACTTTCTGGCTATAACATGCTATAACGGTAAAAAGGGTAGAAATGTTGAAAGGTGGAAGCAGGACCATATTAATAATCTTGAGCCTCCGGGGAGTCCAAATTGGCAGCCATGAGGGACAGAGTAGCTCGCTCCAACAGGTCCGCACGATGCCTGAGCATTGCTCTCTCTAACAATGCCACCAAAAACAAACAGTGTTGAAACATGTTGAAACATACCGGGTATTAAAAGACTGAGTATCTTCACTCTTCTTGGCGCAATGTCAACTCGGATTAGGACATGGAGAAAGACGGAGCATGATGGAAACCCCTTTTGTATTCAGTGAATCATTGCATTGCAGTACATCAGGCCATGTGCCAACTTAAACTCCAATGTTTGAGCGCCATGTGTTTGTATGAGTACAGCTTCCAAAAACGCAAATCCGCAAATCAGCGGTATGTTGGTAGCCAGAAAGAATCACTTGAGACAACAATCTATATAGATCTTTTCCGGCAAAGTCTTGCGTCTTCAAAACTTTAAGAGCTGGTCAAAAACCATCCTGCAAACGGGGTCGCCAAGACTGGCGGGTACAGTCAAAGAAACTGTAGAATGATGTAGAATGCATCCTGCCTCGAAGCAAGCTTCAGCATCTCTGAACAATCTTCTAGGTCCTGCCAATGGAAACTTTGAACCGCTGACTACCTGAGCTGAACAAATGTTGGCATCAGTTGCCTTCTTTGACGTCTTGCAAGTCAATTCACTCTACACACCACTACTACCGTTCTTGCAGCATGTTCATTTCGCTACATCTTTCCGGCATGCAGTGTCTGCATGCCAAGTTGTCTCTGCAAGCAGCAACTTTCCGAATAAGCAAGCAGTGACAAACCAAGTACTGCATTCGCCAACAATTAATATCCAAGATTTGCCGATCCCTACCCAGTGTCAACCACCTCTGCACGTTCTATGTCTTTATGGTGCTCATAAAGCAGACTTTTTCGCCATCCGTCAGAGTACAGCTCCGGCTTCCGTTTCAGGTCAGCATCTCCAGGAACTTGGTCTTGCCGGCCGCTCTTCTCCCGCTCCAACTTCACCGAGATTTGCTTCGCCTACAACGTCTACAACGTCTACAACGTCTACCACGTCAACATCACACTTCAGTCTGCATCCGTGCCAGGAAAAGAAGAGGTCGTAAAGGCATGTAAAGGCTGTGGGCCAGCGGGCAAGAGGAGACGGCAAACAGAAAATTGAAAGAAAAACCTTTTCGTCTTGCTGTGTACCTTGCAAGGTTGCTGCGTGTAGCCCGTTTTTCTGCCTGCTCAGAAGAGAGATTGATCAGCAAAATCAAAATCAATCCAAACAGCTGACTGTTCACAGGACTGATCAGGTCTGCTATTGTACCCAGAGCTGCGACTTTATTTGAGAACTGGGCTTGAAACATCCAACGACTTTCTATCGTTAACCTGACCTAGAGCATCATCCTCCCCCAGACCTTGACTCTGAACAGCCGCACAAACCTACCACAACATGACAAATACAGCCAAAGTTCCGACCCACGTTTTCTCTAAGTGGGAAAGGCGATTGGTCGGAAAGGCGATTTGTGGTACACAGAGGAGGCTGAGTGCCCAGTACAAACACGCGACCTTCCATCCAAACAAAGAGCGTATCTTCCCTCACTCACTCAGATGCACCAGCCATATCTAATGACACGTGATTTGTATTGATTTGTGGATATGTGTGGTAGATGTTGCTGCAGCGGGCGTTTGCATATTTTGTTGACAAGCTTGAACGCCAAGCAAAGTGCAGACCAGCCCAGGCCGCACCTGTCCAACTAGGTGGCCCATGAAGTCACTCCACTTTTCGCATCTCCGGAGAAAACTTCGTCCTCTTGGTCTGTGAGAGCCTCTTCAGGCTTGTCCTCCTTTTCCTGGAATATGTCTGATGTCATTTCTTCACACAGTGCTCTGACTGAAAACATTTGAGGGCAAGGGCTCCTTGATGGGAGGTTGAATCGGCGGATCTTGCTTCCGACCTGATGGACATTCTGTTGCCATCCGTGTTGCTCTCTGAGCAAGGCTGTCTCAAGCAAACCGAGGCTCTGAGGCTCAAGCTTAAGAGGTGTATGAAAAAGTCGTCCGCACTTTCAACATGCAAACGATTCGCCTGCAAGTTCACGCTCACATATCTAACTCGCGCAGGGGTGCACACACAGGCTTTTGCGCTTCTGGCACGCAGAAGCTCTGCTCATTACATGCGCACACGCCGGGGACTAGAAGGCTCTGCCTCATCACCATTGCTAGATGAAGAATGGGATCGAAAGAAGCTGTGGTCCTGTAGCGCAAGAAGTGAATCAATGTATTTTTGGTTGCAGGGAAGAATTACAGGAAGCCAAGGCTTTTCCCATCCAATATCAGGCTTCCTGTAAATGCCCCTTCAACATCCTTCAACCAATTCTGGGATTGCTTCATCTTCGTCATTCTTCGTCCTTGATCTCTCTCAGCCCGTTTGCTCCACAACCAAGCCGTCGGCGTGGGCGAGGCTCCAGCAAAGACACCTGGCACAAAAGTGCTGTGGCTTTCAGGTATTTCAGGTGCCGTTGAAGCAATTTCGTATATTTCGTTGTCTTAGAGTCGCAATAGTACTGGCCAGTGGTCTGTCTCGAACGACAAGAAGATCAACAAGCTAGCTCCACAATGATTTTCTTAGAGCATTCGTCCAATGCTTGGGGAATGTGCGGCTTCCCTGCCAGCACAGCTCTGCAGACCTCGCAGCAACATAAGAGCTCTGTAGTCTCACAAAGAATGCACAGCTACTGGTACATGTTGCTAGCCTCCCTGTCGTTATCAGCGTTTTCTCCAAAGGGTAGCTGTCCACAAAGCAACCTGCAAACGAAGGAAAAGCAGAACTTCTTACAGTCGAAAAGCTTGAAAAATGAGTGAAACTCTCGACATCCCAAACTGCAAACCATGATAAACATGCAAGCAGTTCTCAAAAAGAAGTATTCCAAGTGCCCAAACCTCGGGTTGCGAATGCTGTCAGGAGCCGCAGATCTTTTGGCACTGTTGTACGGACTTTTGGAATGTGAATAGAATTGCTCATGAATCATGAACTCTGAGCTTGGTGCATCAACTTCAAGACCATACCCTTTGCCACGCATGACTTCAGGAGCCATATAATGGGTTGTACCTAGGATTAAAAAAACAACAAATTGAATTCACAAAACACAGACATTGGCACCAGAAAAAAGAGTTTGATCAAGAATGAACTCCCCAGTTCGGTATTCGAAGCTTCTCGTCCTTTCCATGAATTTCTTTATGGACCCGCTTTGATCCGCTTTGTATCTTCGTCCCCCAGCACAGAAAACTTTGGTGTTGAATTTAATCGGGGAGGCTGCTGGAAAACCGGCGCATTCGAATCTGTTCTATGGAAGGTCAATTTCTATTGATTGGAAGTTATGACTCATATCTGTTTAGCTAATTATTCTTTGGCCAGTTGTGAGCCATCGACAAACGATTCAGCTAAAACGATTGTGAAGGCGCAGCAGGTTGGATCTATTTCAGGCCACATTGAACGCATGAACCATGAATGTATCAGCCTCTCTCCCTTGCAAAGTTTTGAGTTTCGACTCCAAAGCCCCAAGTTTGTATATAGTGCAAAGGGTGATAGTAGTACGCAAGCACAGGGAGGTCGGGAAAACATCTTCCAACTGTCGCATACACCGTTGCAAAACGCACCAATGAACGAGCTATTGCTTCGCGGTGATTCAAAGCACAGTTTATGAAAGCTGAGAGTAGGCCAGTTGGATGTCACCATCCCTCCCAGCCGTACTGCAGTTACTGCACTGTCCGCCCAACTGTGTCCCAACGAAACAATTCTGAACAAACCAACCGTAGAAGTATTTCTACACCCAAGATGCTGGATTTTGGCTCACCGTCCTGTTCAATCCTTTTCATCTTTTCCATGAGCATTTGAAAGGCTTGATCTGAGCACTTGGCCGACTTGCGTGAAGGTTCTGCCACACTTTGCATCCAGTTTCTTTGCGGTGCCAAAGTCAACCAACTTGAGGTAACCCTGGCAAGATCAAACAGAGTATTACAATACAGCATATCTTTGTCAAAGTCAAGTCAGAAAATATGTCAAGAAAATGGGTGACATATTGGGACCATCCATGCAAGTGTGGGGTTGAAATTTGGTGATAGTGGCATGAGCCTCTGAGTCAAGCAGAATGTTTTCTGGCTTCAGGTCTCGATAAACGACGTTGCGTTCGTGCAGAGCTTCCACCATCAGAAGAATTGACCCTACGTAGAACCTTGGATGCATCACTGGAAAGAAGGTCTTGCCGATTCATCATGATTCATCCACATTGTGATTAATGTTTTCGTCCAATCTCATTGATGGACACTGAGGCTTGAATTTGGGGCTCACACATCGCTTGTTTTCGAGAAAAAGCGTTGGTAATTGAGCGCATTGCATCATACAACCTCAACCATCTACCAGTAATTGGCAAAATGGCAGCGGTTGGAGCACGGCCCTGCAAACTTTGACAGTGCGAGTAATCGAGAGTCTGGCTCGCCCCCTCCGACATACTCTGCCAGGACATAAACATTCTGAAACGTTTCCATGGACTTCACCTGCAGGAAAAAAACAGCTGAAGCCGGAGAAGCATGCAGAAAGCCAACCTGTTTTAGGCATCATCTATAATATATATATATATATACGTATACATAATAGTAGTATAATTTAATATATTTAATATAGTATAATTACAAACAAGTATCTATGGCAGTAACTTTAATGCAGAAATCAGCTCTGTAGGATGCTGGCCATGTGCATGAGGAAAGGATGGTCATTCTCGGACAAGATCTCAATTTCTCGCTGCACCACAGGCGGAACCTGACCAGAGAAACAACTGAACATGCTGAAAGCATCCACAATAGGAGGCTGTTCTGCAGGCTATCGCAAATATCGTTGCACTGCCACTTTCTAGCCCATTAGCCAAACACTGGGCCTTGCCTTATTGCTGCCATTCAGCTTTTGCATTCGCTTCAGCGCATATTTGGCTCCTGTTTCCTTGTGGCGCACCTTGCAAAAAGCTTATCATGCTCAGTCCAGGCCTGTTGAGCTGCACAAGCTGAGCACGCCACAAGCCAGACAGTTCCCGAAGTGCCAGTTCCCACTTGACCAAGTCTTCTTAGATCTGCTAACCTTATGCAGTCAAAAAAAAAAGTCAGCACAACAACTGTAGGCATGGCGTCATCAGAACTTAGAACTCCGGCGGTTTCATGTGATGTGGACATTTGCGCAAGTGAATCGAAAAACTAAGAGAGCAACTTGACTCCAGGGTCTTGCAACACGGCTCGTTGGTGAAGCTGTTCTGAAGCTCTACCTTCTTTTGCAAGAGCCTCCAGCGGAGCGGAGCAAGGACAGCAAAATTAGTCATATGTCACACTATGTCACAGTATGTCGACATGTTTGAAAGATTTTGAAAGTTTCCAAGGCAGTGCCTGCCACAGGCTGGAGCTGTCCCAAAACCAGACTTCCCCTTCCGCTGTGGCCTCAGGGCCAATAGCCCAAGACTCATGTCACGGACCAGCAACTAGAAAACATTGAAACACATTGAAAAACATTGAAAAACATTGCAAACATCAGGCTATGACTCACTATGACATATGATCGAATATGTCTTTTAAACATCTTAGAACATTTGAAAACATGATCTCTACAATCTCTACAGCACCGGGCCAAAGCTGAGACGTTTGCCATCTTGAAGGAAGTGGGCCAAGGCTCCTCGAAGCGAACAGCTCTCTCGCCGAAGCAGCACCCTTGCACCAGCCTCCAGGGTCTGTAATCTGTAAAGCGCAGTGACCCAAGCGCTTTCCAAAATAAAAGTTGTCCAGTCCGAAGCCACAGCCCCTCCTTGTTGCTAGATGCAGTAGCTCATTAGGCAATCATGTACCTCACTGATTTACAAAAACTGACTGTTCTCACTACGATGGCCTCCTGATCGGGCGGCCATCCTTCAACATCTCCACCTTCAGTCAGCTGTATGAACTTACTCTATATTTGCTGGCTCTTGAAAGAGAGTCTCTCAGTCTTCTATGCTTCCTGGCTAGCTATGAGGCTTGGCTCTCATCAGACCAACACCATCGCCATGTCATCCCCACCGATCCAGCACAATCACAATCACCACCACCAGCACCACGAGACTACGAATACTTCTTGCATTCCTACATGTATAAGTACACGTAGAACAATCTCGACGAGTACAACTGAACAAGGAGAAGGATAAGGACAATGGCGACGCCAAGTGTGACCACAAACATGGCAGAGATGATGACAGCATTGATGAGACAAGCGACGCCTTGGCCACGCCAGCAATTACAACAGCAGGAACAGGAACGAAAAAGAGCACCATATCAGAAACAAACCACGCCACCAAGAGTTCAAAAGGGGTCACCATGGCACAGAATTGGTTCAAGGCAACGAGAAAGAACACTCGTTCAAAATGCCAGTAAAGCTGATCCACATTTCATCTTTCCATTTGACACACAGCAAAGTGTACATATATGTATATATATATATATACGTATAATATGTATATATATATATACGTATAATATGTATATATATATACGTATAATATGTGTATATATATATATATACGTATTATCGCATACATATCGTCAATATGCATGTCTATATATATATATATACAGTACATAGTTGTGTGCATTCTACATTCTTACCTTAAGATGTTTGATGGCATTTGACGGCATCGTGCTTTAATTTCCAATCCTGTCTCCCGAACACACAGGTATCAATCCATCCGTACATGCATGAATATGAAGATTGTGTCATGCACGCAGAACAACTCAGCCAGGTCCCTCTCATGATCTCTGGTGTACCCATTGCACTCATGAATGCACTAGAGTGCAGGCATGCTAATCAAGACAGCCGAAGGGTACGACTCCTACAATCTCGTACAAATGACTGCACATCGACCAACATGCACAAACCATCACAAACCTAGGCGTGCCTCTCCAGCTGCTATGACATAGAATTGAGAACCCTTGTCACCTGCACGGACCAACGATGCAGGCTTGCGGGTGGAGCTTGAGACATGGACATGTTGTTTTTCAAAAAGCACGAGATGCACGAGCCTTGTTTCACAATTTCTTCTCCACTGCGATAGATCTGCGTCTTCACGCTGTGGAAAAGGACATCTAGAGTTGCCTCCCAGTGTAGCTCTGAAGCATGTCTAGCTCGGAGCACGCTTGCATCGAGCTTTGAAAATGTCTTCAATCGATTTCAATTGGAGCACCACATTGCAATCATGTGGTTGTTGTTGAAAGCAGGGACCTCCTGAACTTGCCGGAAAATGGAAACCTTGAAGTCAATGGGCATTGTCTTGTAAATCAAACCGGAACACAGATAAGTTTGTAAAATACAAGTAGAACTGCAGAGAGGACCCAAACTCTGAGGGATTGACGCGAGAGAGAACTTCGATAATCCGTGCTTTCATGCCAGCAGCATCATCAGTCCTGGAATTTGAAGACAGTCACCCGGGTGAATGCACCATGCTAATGGCGTCATCAAACTCAGGTGGGGCCTTAGCCTTTGGGGCAAAACCGCAAGGCGGCAGCCGGAATGACCGGCAGTTAGCGAACACTCGTGAGCCTTGGCTCGTGAATCAACTGCGAATGTTGAGGGCTGAAGTCAGCTTGGTTGAAAGAAGTGCATAAAAACAACTGAAGATGGCACGGCTCCCAGTACTTGAGGGTTAAATGAGCCTCAGGGCAGCATGTCCACCTTTGCTTAAAAGTTTGTGGCGGTTTGGATGCCATTTCTTGTATATTCTTGTATGTTGTGTTGCGACAGTCTTTGCTTGTTGTCTGTCTGGTCTGACAGTTCTCCTCAAGTTTACAGTCTTTGCCAGTCTTTGCTTGCTTTCTGACTTTGTCTTGAACGCCTCATATATCTTGAAGGAAAGTGCAAAAAATCCATTAAACTCCTATCACCTATCATTCTCTGCATGGAATATATGGAATCTTAGCAAACCTTCACCGGTTTCGTCCGGGCAAATCTGGCCTTGTGCTGCAAGGGCAGCTGGTGGAGCTTCTACATGGCCTTGCCGAAGAGTCCGCATTGAGGGACGATGTCCGGCCTTCGCATCTGGTGTCGGAACACAGCGGATGAGTGTGATTTGTATATGTGGTGCGCATAGTGCGTTGATGTATATGTTTGTTCCGCTGACGCTTGGTGTTTCCTCGAAGTCAGAGTCCCAATGTCTATGTTCACAGCGACAGCTGCTATGGCATGCTATGGCTATATATGTTGCATATGATTCCCAACGTGGAACAAATCACCAACTATCTACGTTGCTCAGCCTCTGTGCTTGTACTTGTCATTCAAAATCACTGGTGCTGGCCTGAACCACACCGTCCAGCACCACAAAGAGTCCAATCGTTGGCGGTATCTTAGCACCTCGAAAAGAAAATTTATGTTTGACACGTTGAAGTTTCAGCGTGTACAAACAAGACTTCATCAAACCTTCTGAGGCTTGGTGAGTGTGCCTGGCAAGTACTCGCTGAGCTCGAGAGACTTGGAGATGTCTGTGACCACTGATTTACTTTGGGCCTCAAACTTTTTCCACTTGCTGTCGCTGCCACTGCAAGGCGCTCTCTATCATCACGAACCCAAGAAGAAGGGGAATAAAGACACTGCACTGCTGAACAGAATTGCCGAATTGCACAAAAGGCCCAAGGAATGCACTGACAGAACAGGCGATGAGAGCAGACTTGACCTCGGACGAAACATCTGGTTGTGTTCATTGCTCCTGCTTCATCTCCAAGAGTCAATTCCACACACGTTTGAACAGGGCGATCTTACGATATTTTCAGGCACACAGAGGCACATACGTCAAATTTTCTTGTTGAAGCTTGATAGCAGCCTCTTGCTTACCAATGAGCTGCCTTAATCTTCTCACCTGGCAAGCTTTCTTCGCGTTGCTGCTCTTGCTGAAATGATCCAATGGCAGTCTCAGAGAAAAGAAATAAAACTAAAGAAGCGCTACTTTCAAACAAATGTATATGAGTATGCATGTTATATATATATATATGTATATATATATATACGTAATATGTATAGATAGATAGATAGATAGATAGATAGATAGATAGATAGATAGATAGATAGATAGATAGATAGATAGATAGATAGATAGATAGATAGATAGATAGATAGATAGATAGATAGATAGATAGATAGATAGATAGATAGATAGATAGATAATAGATAGATAGATAGATAGATAGATAGATAGATAGATAGATAGATAGATAGATAGATAGATAGATAGGTAGGTAGGTAGGTAGGTAGGTAGGTAGGTGGATGGATAGATAGATAGATAGATAGGATAGATAGATACAGTAGGATAGATAGATACAGTAGGATAGATAGATACAGTAGGGTAGATAGATACAGTAGGATGGATAGATACAGTAGGATAGATAGATACAGGAGGATAGATAGATACAGTAGGATAGATAGATACAGTAGGATAGATAGGATAGATAGATAGGATAGAGAGATAGGATAGATAGATAGGATAGATAGATAGATAGATAGGATAGATAGATAGGATAGATAGATAGGATAGGATAGGATAGGGTAGGATAGGACAGGACAGGACAGGACACAGGACAGGACAGGACAGGACAGGACAGGATAGGATAGGAGGATAGGATAGGATAGATGGGATAGATGGATGGACGGACGGACAGACAGACAGACAGATATTAGCTGAGCAGGTAGATAAACATGATAGATATGTAAGCAAACAAACGATAACAAATGTGCATATTATTGTTGATATTTGGGGTTTGCTCCCTTTCTTTCACAACATGCCAAGCCATGCATTGAGGAGTACGAGCTCACATCGCTGCGTAGCTTGAATTGTCACCTGAACTGCTCAGATCAAAGTCAGCAGTTTCAAGTGTGCACTAGCTCAGTAGCAAACAGCTCATGGCACGGTATGGCACGGCACTGTGGTAGCGACTCCAGACTTGTCTTCAAAGAGCAAAAGCCGTTTGCCTGCAACAACTTGTGCTGTAGTATCTTGACTTGTAGCAACATATGCCACACAAGACCATAAAAACATCCTATATACATGTACATTCGTACCAATTGTCACAGAATTGCGGCGTACCAACACAGTCGCCAACATTCAGCAACTTCTCCTGCGCAACACTGCCAAGTGACGCAAAACGAGCAATCGTCGAAGTATGGTACTGAAGTCAAATGAAGTGTGAGCGGTGTAAGTCTCCTCACGACCAGGAGATTCTAGCCTTTTCAGCTGTCCAGCTTTGACAAAAAAAGCATTGGTCAACCTGAGGTGTCAAGCTCTTTAAGAGCAACTTGGAGTTACTATGGCCACCACTACAGTCAACACAATCTGAAGCGATCTGAAGTGGTGTCACAGGAGAGCTGGGTTCGAGATAAGAGCACCGCTCAGTGCTGGCGTGCGATGGCATCTCCCCGGTTGCATATGACTTGACAGAACACCTCATGACAGTCATGACACGAGGCCGGCTGCTGGTCCTCCCAGCATGTTGCAAGTTCACATCGAATTGTGTCAAGGCCCTCACATATCAGCCACGCAATCCAATTCTCGGGAGGACAAACCCTGCAGCAAAGGGACCTGAACTGGAAGGAATTTTTCAAAGGGACTTCAAACTATATCAGCGAGTGACCTGCCTTTTCAAGGAAGGATCTGACATCAGAAACCTGCAAAGGATGCAGCAAAAGTCAAAAAACAAAAGCCAGCAATGCTTTGCATGATTCCTTGGTCGTGCCTGGTGAACAACCGCTGCGAGGATTGCCTGTGCTCCACAAAATAGACAACGCAGAGTGATCGTCTTGTAAATATCAAGCCAGTGTCAAAAGGGAGCACTGTCTCACTGACCAGGTAAAACATGGCATAACCCTTGACACTGCCCCATCCAGCCAATCTTTTGATTCATCAGTCTTTCATTGGTTTTTCAGTCTCTAAATTGGCTCTATAGTCTATAGTTCATCTTCTTCTTCTTTTTTTTCTTCTTTTTCTGCTTCTGAGCCTTGTTTTGTCCCTTCCCTTTCTCCTCACCCAGCCGCCTCTCTGAAGATTCGGCTCTCCGCAGCCCAAACACCAACTTTCCGAGCAGCGACGACCGAGCAGGTATGTGGGCACCTGGGTTGACTTGACCGTGAAACAAAAGCATGATCCGAGGTGAGGTAGATTCAGGTAGATCAAACCAAAGCATCAAATGAGAAGCAGAGGCCACGAAGACAGGCGTTCCCACACGATCCACATGCACATGTGAAAGCAAAAGGAACACACAAACATACATACATTAAAACATGCACCGGTTGGAAAGCGCGCTCCCGGAACATGCCAAGGTGGGTTTCTAAAAGGGCCCGTGATCATATCCATTCCCACGCATGCACACACACAGAAAGAACATACACGTATATGATTCACTGAATCATCACATATGTGTGTATGCATATATATATATTATATGTGTGTGTTTCTGCACATGTAACGTGAGTGTAGCTTTGCAAACGAAAACCTTTAAACACATCGCAGGTCGGGGTATTTGTCTACGTGCATGTGTGTGTGTGTGATGTGTATGCACACCTGTGTATACCGAGTTATGTGGTATGTGCGCGCACGTGTATACACGTATACACCATGTTCATCAGTGTGTGCATCCTTCTCACGCACATACTTTGATTGGATACATGTCTAGTGTACTCATAGGTCAGAAACGTTACAATAAAGTTACGTATAAGGGTGTATGTAAATATATATATATATATATATGCAAGCATGAGAGGAATGAAATGCTTGCATGCAACAACTTATAAGTTTATTGTATCTCTTCTTTGAATGCATGGCGCCATCTGCACTGTTCCTCACCCCAATCCATGAACCATTGATGCATGATGTTGCATGTGTGTGTGTGACAGTTGTATGAGTGCATATAACATATATGATACAAATGCATGAATGCGGAATATAAAATATCCGCCGACCCCGGCAGACGCAAGGGGGAGTGCGTAAGGGAAAAAGAGTTTATGACACAGCTGCCAGGAAAGAATAATTCGCTGACCCCGGCCGATGCAAGGGGGAGCGCGTAAGGGAAGAAGAGGTGCTGCACTGCTACTTTTACTACCAGGCAGCAGCAGGCAGCAGCAGGCAGCAAGAACAACAACAACAACAACAACAACAACAAGAACAACAACAAGAACAAGAACAACAACAACAACAACAACAACAAGAACAAGAACAAGAACAAGAACAACAACAAGAACAACAACAACAACAACAACAATGACAATGACCCTTTGCCGGGGGACCCTGTTAGGTCCCCCTCCCACCGGTCACGTACGTCGATTCATTGACTCCGGGGTTTTTGTTTTACCGGTGGGCGGTCCTTCCCGGAGTCTCCTCGAGGTACGTGGGGCTCCTTGGGTTGCCCTTCCCGCCCTGATTTGTTCGTTCGAGGGTGTCTTTGTGGGTGAGCAGCACTTCTTCAGCAGCAGAAGACAAAAGTAGCTAAAATCCTCATGTTCTATTGGTTTCAGAAGCGACCTCTTCAGCAGTAGAAGACAAAAGTAGCTTAAAAATGTGATTTGTGATGATCATTTTCTATGGGTTTCAGAAGCGACGTTAGAGACTTTTTTGGTGCGCTTTTCGGACTAGTTCGTCCTGCAGGGCCCTGGTGTTTCCCCGTCCGGGAGGGTGGTGTCTTTGTGGGCACAGCAGCACTTCTTCAGCAGCAGACGACAAAAAGTAGTTCAAATTATCCTTTTCTTTTATCCTTTTCTTTTATTTATCCTTTTCCTTTTCTATTCTATTCCTTGTCTATTCTATGTTATCCTTTTCAGAAGCGACGTTAGAGAGTTTTTTGGTGCGATTCTCGGACTAGTTCGTCCTTCAGGGCCATGGTGTTTCCCCGTCCGGGAGGGTGGTGTCTTTGTGGGTGAGCAGCACCTCTTCAGCAGCAGAAGACAAAAGTAGCTAAAATCATCATTTTCTATGGGTTCAGAAGCGACCTTATAAACAGTGTCGTGGGTGAGCAGCACCTCTTCAGCAGCAGAAGACAAAAAAGTAGCTCAAAACAAATCATTATCTCATTATCTCCTTTTCTATTCTATTCTATAGGTTTCAGAAGCGACGTTAGAGAGTTTTTTGGTACGATTCTCGGACTAGTTCGTCCTTCAGGGCCATGGTGCTTCCCCGTCCGGGAGGGTGGTGTCTTTGTGGGTGAGCAGCACTTCTTCAGCAGCAGAAGACAAAAGTAGCTAAAATCCTCATGTTCTATTGGTTTCAGAAGCGACGTTAGAGACTTTGTCGTGGGTGAGCAGCACCTCTTCAGCAGCAGAAGACAAAAGTAGCTCCAATCATCATTTCTATGGGTTTCAGAAGCGACGTTAGAGACTTTTTTGGGGCGATTCTCGGCCTAGGTCGTCCTTCAGGGCCATGGTGTTTCCCCGTCCGGGAGGGTGGTGTCTTTGTGGGTGAGCAGCACCTCTTCAGCAGCAGAAGATCACATCATTTTCTATGGGTTTCAGAAGAAGACAAAAGTAGCTAAAATCATCATCATCATTTTCTATGGGTTTCAGAAGCGATGAGCACCTCTTTAGCAGCAGAAGACAAAAGTAGCTAAAATCATCATCATCACATCATTTTCTATGGGTTTCAGAAGCGACGTTAGAGAGTTTTTTGGTGCGCTTCTCGGACTAGTTCGTCCTGCAGGGCCCTGGTGTTTCCCCGTCCGGGAGGGTGGTGTCTTTGTGGGCGAGCAGCACCTCTTCAGCAGCAGAAGACAAAAGTAGCTAAAATCATCATTTTCTATAAAATCATCATTTTCTATGGGTTTCAGAAGCGACGTTATAAACAGTGTCGTGGGTGAGCAACACCTCTTACTACTACTACTACTACTACTACTACTACTACTACTACTACTGTTTTTCTAGGGTTTCAGAAGGGACGTTAGGCACTTTTTGGGCTCGATTTTGGAGCGTTTTAGGCAGTGGTGGCCATGAGTCGAGCTGAAAGCGACAGTTCTTTTTTTTCTAGGAATTCAGAAGGGACGTTAGGCAGTTTTTCGGTGCGATTCTGTGGCTTGTTCGTCCTTCCGTGCCTTGCTGTTTTGGTGCCGGGAGGTGCTCTTGCGACTCTTCTGTTAGCAACAACAACAGCAGCAGCAGCAGCAGGTGGGCTGATGGACTTCTATTGAATGTTGAACAAGCGGAAAAGGTTGGGAAAAAGACATTTTTTCTAGGAATTCAGAAGGGACGTTAGGCAGTTTTTCGGTGCGATTCTGTGGCTTGTTCGTCCTTCCGTGCCTTGCTGTTTTGGTGCCGGGAGGTGCTCTTGCTACTCTTCTGTTAACAGCAGCAACAGCAGCAGCAGCAGGTGAGCTGATGGGAGATTGAAAAAGCGGAAAAGGTTAGGAAAAAAACATTTTTTCTAGGAATTCAAAGGGACGTTAGGCAGTTTTTCGGTGCGATTCTGGGGCCTGTTTGTCCTTCCGTGCCTTGCTGTTTTGGTGCCGGGAGGTGCTCTTGCTACTCTTCTGTTAGGCAATCAGCAACATCAAGCACCAGCAGGTGAGCTATCTGATGGGATATTCAAAAGCGGAAAAGGTTGGAAAAAAGACCGCATTTTTCTAGGATTCAGAATGGGACTTAGGCAGTTTTTTCGTTGTTCGATTCTAGGCCTGTTCGTCCTTCCGTGCCTTGCTGTTTTGGTGCCGGGAGGTGCTCTTGCGACTCTTCTGTTAGCAGCAGCAACAGCAGCAGCAGCAGCAGCAGGTGAGCTAGCTGATGGGAGATTCAAAAAGCGGAAAAGGTTGGCAAAAAAATATTTTCCAAGGCATTCACAAGGGACGTTAGGCACTTTTTCGGTGCGATTCTAGGGCCTGTTCGTCCTTCCGTGCCTTGCTGTTTTGGTGTCGGGAGGTGCTCTTGCTACTCTTCTGTTAGCAACAACAACAGCAGCAGCAGCAGCAGGTGGGCTGATGGACTTCTATTGAATGTTGAACAAGCGGAAAAGGTTGGGAAAAAGACAAAGACATTTTTTCTAGGAATTCAGAAGAGACGTTAGGCAGTTTTTCGGTGCGATTCTGTGGCTTGTTCGTCCTTCCGTGCCTTGCCGTTTTGGTGCCGGGAGGTGCTCTTGCGACTCTTCTGTTAGCAGCAGCAACAGCAGCAGCAGCAGCAGGTGAGCAGATGGGAGATTGAAAAAGCGGAAAAGGTTGGAAAAAAGACATTTTTTCTAGGAATTCAGAAGGGACGTTAGGCAGTTTTTCGGTGCGATTCTAGGGCCTGTTCGTCCTTCCGTGCCTTGCTGGTTTGGTGCCGGGAGCTGCTCTTGCGACTCTTCTGTTAGCAGCAGCAACAGCAGCAGCAGCAGGTGAGCTAGCTGATGGGAGATTCAAAAAGCGGAAAAGGTTGGAAAAAAGACATTTTTTCTAGGAATTCAGAAGGGACGTTAGGCAGTTTTTCGGTGCGATTCTAGGGCCTGTTCGTCCTTCCGTGCCTTGCTGTTTTGGTGCCGGGAGGTGCTCTTGCGACTCTTCTGTTAGCAGCAGCACACAGCAGCAGCAGCAGCAGGTGAGCTAGCTGATGGGAGATTCAAAAAGCGGAAAAGGTTGGAAAAAAGACACTTTTTCTAGGAATTCAGAAGGGACGTTAGGCAGTTTTTCGGTGCGATTCTAGGGCCTGTTCGTCCTTCCGTGCCTTGCTGTTTTGGTGCCGGGAGGTGCTCTTGTGACTCTTCTGTTAGCAGCAGCAACAGCAGCAGCAGCAGCAGGTGAGCTAGCTGATGGGAGATTCAAAAAGCGGAAAAGGTTGGAAAAAAGACATTTTTTCTAGGAATTCAGAAGGGACGTTAGGCAGTTTTTTGGTGCGATTCTAGGGCCTGTTCGTCCTTCCGTGCCTTGCTGTTTTGGTGCCGGGAGCTGCTCTTGCGACTCTTCTGTTAGCAGCAGCAACAGCAGCAGCAGCAGCAGCAGCAGGTGAGCTAGCTGATGGGAGATTCTAAAAGCGGAAAAGGTTGGAAAAAAGACATTTTTTCTAGGAATTCAGAAGGGACGTTAGGCAGTTTTTCGGTGCGATTCTAGGGTCCTTCCGTGCCTTGTTGTTTTAGTGCCGGGAGCTGCTCTTGCGACTCTTCTGTTAGCAGCAACAGCAGCAGCAGCAGCAGCAGGTGAGCTAGCTGATGGGAGATTCAAAAAGCGGAAAAGGTTGGAAAAAAGACAAAGACATTTTTTCTAGGAATTCAGAAGGGACGTTAGGCAGTTTTTC